ATCACACTCTGCGCACCCTGGGTTCCTTCGTGGGGTCTCGGTCACTGCAGATAGAGACACGCTGGGCATGCAGGGGTCCTGGCCAGAGCCCGCAGGCTGGGTGACGTCTGACCTTAAGAGAGGGTGGCCTTCGAATACAAACAGGAGAACACGAAGTGTTTTTATGAAACAAACCCCCTGGCAGGCAAAATCACCCTGACGAGAACGAGTGGACAGTGAAATCTAAGTTCATCTAAGCAGCGGTCAGCTGTTAATTAGCTGAGGACAACCATCAGCCCGGCTTCTGACACGGGCCCCACGTGAGCAGGACGTGGCTGAGACCYGAAGCTCCCGGCTGCTTCACAAAGGAGATGGATGGAAATGACACCTTATTAATATTATTATTATTATTATTTTGGTACCAGGGATTGAACTCAGGGGCCCTCAACCACTGAGCCCCATCCCCAGCCCTATGTTGTATTTTATTTAGAGACAGGGTCTCRCTGAGTTGCTTAGTGCCTCGCTTTTCGTGAGGCTGGCTCTGAGCTTGCGATCCTCCTGCCTCAGCCTCCGGAGCTGCTGGGATGACAGGTGTGCGCCACCGCRCCCGGCCTGACACCTTAATTGATTCTAAGGACAACTAGCATCATTTTTTGAGGAACCCAGACATAATACACAGGAATTTCAGAACAGTCTGACTGCACCTCTGGGCAAGGTTAGCTGTTCAGCTTCAACCTCCCCTCCCGAGCTCAGGCCTCACCTCCCAGGCTCAGATCTCCCCTAGTGAAACTGCTGAACAAATCTGCTCCACCCCGTCCAYTCTCTATTATAAACACGCTTTTCTTTTTTCCATTCACATATCACTAAATTGAAATCAGGGACACAGTCTTTTTGTATATTTCCTGTCTGACTCCTCCAAAAAGAATGGATCCTCTGCCCAGCACGGCGGCGGTACACGCCCGTAATCCCAGGGACTCGAGAGGCTGAGGCAGGAGGATCGCAAGCTGGAGGCCAGCCTCAGCCACTGAGCAAGACACTATCTCAAGATAAAAAAAAAAAAAAAAAAGCATAAAAAGAGCTGGGATAAAGCATCCCCGGGTTCAGTCCCTCAGTACCAAAAGGGGGAAAAAATGGATTCCTCACTGGCAGGGATTTTCTGTCTCCGTTACCGCACCATCTTTAGGATCTGGCTCGAGGCCTGGCCTCTGCATGGCCCATTAGCGATTTATTGGATAAGCGGGGAGATGAATAGATTTACATGGATGTAATTTTTAAAGCATTCATTTCCGCTCACATTCAGGACTCAGCCTTATCCACCGGCCTCTCCGCCGGGCATCGTCTGTAAACAATGGAGATGCTTCTTCCTTCCCCTCTGCCCCGAGTCCGTGGGTCAAAGAAACTCAAGTAAGTACCTGGTTGGTTTTGAAAAGGGAGCAGTCAGGAGACTCCCTCCCACTGCCCTGGATCCTGGGGGCCCGAGAGGGAGCTCGAGGCAGATGCAGGTCTGCCCCCCTGGACTGGACRGAGCCAGCCTCACCAACACCCAGGTGGACACGCCCCGGCTCCACTGTAGAGCACCTCCACGCCCACCCCCAGGTGCTGGGGTGCCCGAGCTGAGGCCAGTTCACAGAGAGTCTGGTGGGTGGGGGTGGGGGCGAGAAGCTGAAATTMAATGACAAGAGCGAGCCAAACGATCGGCCTCCTGAGGATCAATAAGAAAGAGAATCAAATAAGCCTCCAAACTTATCAGGACGGGGTGAGGTGGCACCGTGGGGTGTGTGTGTGTGTGTGTGTCTGTGTGTGTGTGTGCACGGGCTTAAAATAAAACTCCTATTGGGGCCAATGCCCACGCCATTCTACACACAAGCCCGATGACAACCTGTGTGTCGTSCAAAAAACAAAAMCATAAAAATAAAAATGACTACCTGCACTGCCTCTCCACCTATCTGCCTGTCCATCCGTCCGTCCATCTGCCCACAACCACCTCACCCCGTCTTCTCTTCTGAGTGTGGAACATTCTCTCATGAACCTTGGGTGGAAACCTCCTACCTGCCCCTCTAGCTGTGCCCCTTTCCATTAGTCCAGGCAACTTCATTTTCTAGCAAAAGAGAAGAAAGATCCAGTAGAGAGATTCTGATGTCAAAAGACCCTGCGTCTGACACCCATCCATGCCTGATCTTCCTGCGGGACCCTGGACAAGTCACCTAACCTCTCTGAGCCCRAGGCCCATCTCTTAGAAATGACGTATCCTAGGAGCACGGATGTAACTGGGGCACGTGAGGGTTCCGTGGGAGAAGCCGGTTCCTGGCAGATGAAGAAGCCTAGTGGGGGTGGAGAGCAGGATCATGAAACCAAGCCACAGCCCCAACTCAGATTCCTTCCAGACTCTCGCTGCTGTTGTGATTTCTCCATTTCTGGGTCACCCGGTTCTGGGTGGACCACTGTGGCCAGGACGTCCTTGGTGCGCGCAGCTCCGAGCTGGCACTGGGGAGGTAGCCCTTCCTGGGCGTCCTCATTCTGCTAATGTGGCTGCTGAGTCCCCCTGATCCCACGGTGGCAAAGCTCGGTGGTGCTGATGCCGAGAGGGTCAGAGGAGCCCTCTGCAGCCACCAACYCATCGACCCCCACTCAGCACAGCCGTGTGGGGACAGAGGGACCGAGCCACACTCAGGACCTGTGCAGCCAGCAGGCAGGGAGAGCAGCCCACGTCGGGGAGCTGAGCTGCCGCGGGAGGCGAGGACACGCGCTCTGTGACATCCAACAGGAAGGGCCACCGCGACCCTGGGCTTCAGGATGGAGCGGGTGACCTGAGAGCTAAGGACTCGGGGTTGGGGCCGGGGCGGGGGTGGGAGCTGCCCTGGGGCTCCTGTGCCACGTGGCTCGGCCACATCGCCCTCTGGCCTGCGGCATGTGGGGACCATCTGGGACACTGCTCTCTGCCAGYGAACCCTGCCCTGCCCTCGTGTCTGACCCGCCTGCAGGCAGCTCAACAGGCCCCTTGTTCGCCCCACGATGGCTGAGGCCCAGCACAAGGCCAAGCTGGCCACGCTCTCGTGCCAACAGTTAAAAAAAAAAAAACTTTGAACTTTGGTTGGGTTCCAGTGTGTCTTCAGCACCGGAAAATCAGGACTCGGGGCCAGACYGCCATCGCCTAGGGCTCCCCAAAGAGAACCAGGCGCCCTGGGCAGAGTCCTGTCGGGGACCCAGTGGGACGGCACACGGATGGGAAAGTGCGTCCTGCCTCACCCCTGGCTGCCGATCGAGGATCGGGTCCCTTGGGACTTTAAGAGTGGCCACTGTGCGTGGGGAGCTGTCACCCCCACAAAGCGCTGGCCAAAGCCAAGGGTACCGATGGCCCTTTCCCGAGGAGGCTCTGAGGCTGGCCGGCTGGTGTCCAGCCAGGARGTTGCGGGAGGGTCAAGCTCAGAACCCTCCCCGGGGCAGCTCCAGCCCGGGCAGCGGGACTTGGCGCCCAGGGTCCTGCTCACGGCCCAGGCCTGCCCCTGGGTGCAGTTCAAACATGAGTCCACCCAACCGACTGCCCGAGACAGTGTCCTCCACCGACACACAGGAGGTGGGACTGGACACCGGGGGTTCCGAGCAGCGTCCCCTCTACACACGACCCAGGGAGGCCAAAACGTCTTCAGATGTTACCAAGTAGCCTCGGGGGCCCAAACCGCTGGCTCTGGACGGTCAACCTCTTAAAGTGAGTCCAGTTAAGGAAGAAATGCCCTCTAGCTGGCCGCCCCCAACACAGGAAGTCCCCATGGCAACATGGCTTGGGGGGTCCGGGAAGGACAGGAGAAGGGGAAGATGAGACAGAGGATGGCCACYGGGCCCAGGGACCTGGCCTCTTCCCCTCCACGCCACACCCTCCCAGCTGACCCACCAGCCTGGYTGCCTGGCTGTCCCCGGAGCTGAGAGACCACACGTGTGCCAGGGAATGGGACGGACAGACAGACAGTCCTGGAGCCCTGTCCCCACAACTCCGGGGCTTGGCCCCATGAAGTCGGGTGCGTTCCTCTCCTCGCTGCCCTGGGCAGACCCACGCAAAGAGGCCGGGGAGACACGGGGCCTAAGGAGGAGGACGGCGGTGGTGGGTGGCCTTTGCCAAGGTGCTCTTGAAGTCCCCGATGAACTGTGACCAGCCTCGGGATGCTCACCTCGGCTTTACCGTGTCGGACCCCYGCAAAGTGTTCACCACGGGGCTCTGCCCAGGGCCTGTCTGCCCTTCTCCCTGCACCGTGTGACCAGCCCACGGAGCTAAGGAAATGATGGCTCCAAAGACGGACCCCTTCCAACTCAGCAGGAAGGAGGACSGTCCTTCTGGTTCTAGGAGCTCACACAGACACCCTGTGCGTACCCCTGACTCTGCAGACACCACTTCCTGCGATTGTCACCGCACTCCTGCAAGGTGGACACCAGCCCTGTGGCTGTCTCCCAGCTGAGAGATTCGGTGGCCTGCCAGCCTCCCAGGGCGGGAAGGTGGAGAGCCGGAACTCCACCCGGGTGGGCACGAAGCCGGGGCCCGGGCCCATACCTGTGTCCTACCCCCCGCCCAGCAGAACGTAGGCGCAGGGCCACGGCCTGCTCACCAGGCCCATGGGTCGCCCGCCTCACACAGAAAACACAACTGCCTTCTAGACTGTCCCAGGAGGCATGCAGACAGAAGGGTGACGGCCTCTGCCCGTCCCCAGAGTCCCAAGAGCAGCGCCCCTCTGTGGCTCGAGTGTCCCCCCAGCCCCCTGTCCTTGCTGGGAGAACCAAGGGCAGAGGACACCAAAGAAACAGCCCTGGTTTTGGCCACGGGTGGGAGGTGCCTTTAGATACCCGGATGTGACCGTGCCCACACGGGTACACAGCCAGCCAGAGTGCGGACACACGCGTGTGCACCCACGGCCCCGTCTGGGGCACCACGGGCTCCRGGCTGCGGGGCCGAGAGGATGTGCRCACGCCCCCTGCAGAGCCGGTCCCAGAACATCAAGGTGCAAACAGGTGACAGAGCCGTGGGAGGTACTCACCTGGGTCCCCAGGGCGATCAGGGGGCTCGGGTGCGGGTCCTGTGGGGGAAGAAGGAAAGACACGTGAGTGAGGGGGACGTCCCCACCAGAGCGACGTCATTTTCAAACAAAGCCTCGTTTCTCTAGCTCTTGGCCCCGGGGAGGGGGCAGCCCTGGCTWCAGGGAGGTGACAGAAGAGCTGGGCCAATCCGCCGCCCCCCACCCCGGCACCCCTCCCCAAAGCGAGCCGTGAAGGAGGCCCAGGTTTGTCCTCCAGGGTCAACAGCCAGAGAAGAAAAAAGCACCATCACCAAGCATGTCCCCGGGTGTTGGGGTCCTCGGGACAAAGGAGGAGCTGGTCCAGGGGAGGATTAGAAGTAAACCCCCAAGAGTACAAAGTCCTTTTCAGGGCCACGCCCTCGGCCGGGGTCGGATGTTGGAGAAAGAGGGACGTAAGAGAAGGRGCCAGAAACAGAGGAGCCGGGTTCGGGTCCGGGGAGCGCATTCGGGTGGCCGGGGAAGAGGGGGCCAGGGAAGTGCCCTCTTCATCACTGTCCACGAAGGCCAGGCAGCTGGGAGTACGGTGGCAATGCCTCGGGGTCGTTAGGCAGGACCTCTGAGGGCTGGCGGAGGGACAGGGAGGGAGGTGGCAATGCCTCGGGGTCGTTAGGCAGGACCTCTGAGGGCTGGCGGAGGGACAGGGAGGGACAGAAGGAGGAAGGCACCGAGGAGGGGAGGCGAGGCAGCGGTGGTGTTCAGCCAGGGGTTTCCGAGGAAAACAGGAAACAGCGCACAAAGGCTATTTCTGTTTGCCCTGCACAGAACCATCTCTCGGCGGCGATTCTGGGAACAGGGCCTCCAGCGGCGGCTTACAGAGAGCGGCCCACTTCCCGAAGCCCGCTTCTAGGAAACCTTGCGAATTAGCACCCTCCCCGGGGGCCTGGACTGTGAAGGAGAAGGAGGTGAGGGGAAGGGGAGCCCTCTGCACCCCGAGGCGCCAGCAGAACGGCCCCTGCTTTCCTGATCTCTGTGCGGTCACATCTTTACTGTGAGGCCTGACTCGGGCGGGTGTCAGGGCCAAGGTCATGGGCACAGGTTGAGCTCTGGCCTCAGCATCCCSGATCGCTGGCTGGGGTCCAGTTCCCAGTGCCCCCCCACCCCACCCCGGGGCAGCCCGCAGGAGGGACGTTCTAAGAGAATCTCATCTTCACACRCCAACAGGCCTCAGACCCAGGAAAACCTCTAGGGGAACTTTTCTGCCCCCTCCTTCCCCGAGGGCCAAACAGCAGCTGTGCCCCATGGAACCCAACATCTCCTGAGCCGCTTTTGGGGGGTGAGTGGGCCCATTGGCTCCCCTTCCTGGGGCCCCCACCAAGCAATTCCACGGCCGCTCACAGGCAGGAGGAGGGGGCCCGGCAGGGTCCCTGTGCGTAGCAACCGGCCCTAGTTTCACCTTCAAAGGACAAGATCTTCCTGTCTGTGGCCGGTGACCTGCACCAGACCTTGGGCAGCCCACCCAGGGAGCGCCTGCAAACTCTCCCCTCCCCGGGTCCGTCTGTCCACTCGGATCCCACCATCTAGATTTTTGATTAGGAAAAATAAGAAACTGCATCTCAGCCACGAAATTAGCCTCCATTCTCCGAGCCAGCTCCTCGCAGAGCGCGGCTCCGGGGGTGTTGGGTGCACGCCCAGATTAATTAAGCTGTACTTCACAGCTCATTTGGCTATTGTTTGGGGCTTACGCTTCACYGCTCCGAATCGGAGAAGAACACCACACCGAACCCCCTAAGAACCTCGCTGGAAAGAGAGCTTCCTCGGAAAGCCAGGGAAAGACCGGTCAACCACATGGACCCAACGGACGGCCTGGTCCCTGGACCCAACTCTTTGATTTGCTGTTCCAAAGGGAGATGCGAGACCCCCAGCTCGCGTGGTGGTTCAGGGTGCACCATTTATTTAAAAGCTTCTGGAAGACCCCAGCGCCGGCGCTGCCCACTTAGCATCTTAATTAACGAGGGCAGGAAGAGGATGCGGTGCTCCCCGGGCCGTCACTCACACTTAGGACTCGCCTGCCAGGGAAATCTGGTTGTGCACCTTGGAAATGCGAGACTCTCCCTGAAGAGGCTCCGGCCCCAGGATTCAAGGCAGGGCTGTGCCGTCTGCCTGCGGAGAGGTCTCACTTTCGGCAACATCCTCCTTAATTGGAAAGGTTAACGAAGTGGAACTGGGTCAATGACGCCACCGGCTGCCTGATCCATCCTGTCTGTCTACATTGGGGCTCTCCGGGTGACAGTAGAGTAAATTCCTGTCTGTCAGCGGAGGGCTCCTCCGGGGGCTCCAGAGGACAATCGGCACGGCGCCCGCTGGCCACAGTGGAGAGGCTTCTAGAATCTTCATGCTACCGAGACCAGGGAAGGGCTTTCACCCCCCCCCCCACTGCCATGAGTGGACTGGGGGAGTCCAAGAGGGAGCCAGGGAGACGGACCTGGGGGCCTGACCTCTCCACAGCGCCTCACAGCCACGCCCCCTGCTCACGGGACTTGGCGACCCCTGGGCTTGGCCACGCGATTGGCTCAGTCCCCTGGGGCATCCGCGGAAGGTGACTCAAGCCGAGGCCTGAAATCCACTYGACCTTCACCCGTTGTGTCTTTGCCACCACAAGAACATGACCCCCGTGGGTGGCCTGCTGGTCCAGGGAGGATGAGAGCCACGTGGAGCAGCCTGGAACCCACCTGCAGCCGGAGCCTCGCCCAGCCCAGGGCAGCCGACCCCGTGCACCTTCCCCGCACGGAGAAAACGCACGCTTGCTGTTTGGATCCAGAGTTTGGGGTGATTTGTTCCACAGCATTTTKGTGGCACTAACTAAAGGATACACTTTCCAAACACTGGAGAGAATGTATTTTCCCAAGCCCTCAACGATACAAACTCCTGCAGGTGCAAATCCCAGGGAATGGAAATAACTATAATGACCAGCTCTTACCTACCTACCGGGCGCCTATGAGCACCCGCTGTGTGCGGTKGCACCATTACATCAAGCAAGGGCACACTTGACCAYGAGGRYTGGTTTTKGGGCAGTACTGGGGGCTGAACCCCKTTCAATGTSTGCGCYAAAMGYGTGACTCCTCTTCTGCTTGGACGTCACGGAGGCSCTGGCTCTTGGGTGTTAGGCAGTGGCTTTGGGGTGGAGGTGACAGTCCTGACTCGGGCCTTCTGAGTCTGACCTGCACGAGGCCCGCGGGATCTGTGGGTCCCTGCAGCACACGCTCAGGCCCAGACACCCGCAGGAGCCACATGGAAGGGACAGAATATAAATGTAACGGGGACAGAAGGAGCAAGTTTCCACCATCAAGACACTGGGTCAGAGCCTCTCTCCTCGGCYTGCAGGTGGCCCTTCTCCCTGGGTCCTCCAACAGGGCCACTGTGACAGAGGGGTAAGTGACAAAGGACACTACTAGTAATCAYACCAGCATAAGCCCAGACTGTACTAGGCAGACCCAGAAAACACAGCCTCCTCCTATTGAGAGAGGATGGTCACCGACGTCACAGGCGGTCACAAATATTAACTTAACACGCATGGTTAAGCACATGGTACCTGGTACCTGGTCAAAAAGAAGGGTCATTTAACCAGGTGTGGTGGTGCCTGCCTGTCATCCCAGTGACAAGGGAGGCTGAGGCCGGAGGATCACGAGTTCAAAGCCAGCCTCAGCAACAAAGGAGGCCCTAAGCAACTCAGTGAGACYCTGTCTCTAAATAAAATACAAAATCGGGCTGGGGATGGGGCTCCGTGGTCGAGTGCCCCTGAGTTCAGTCCCCAGTACCCCTCACCCCCCACAAAAGCTTCCATGTTTTCATTCTCGCAAGCTAACGAAGGCCGAGTCCTCTCCACTCCACCCTGCTAAAGCACAGTCGGCTCTCCCTGCAAGCTCCTGCGGACACTGGCTGACCCTGTGTCCCATGACAGCGGTGGAGTGGGTAAAGGTGGCTGATTCCTTTTGAATGGACACTCTGTGCCAAGCGCATGCGATACGGCCGCCCCGCCAAGGGAGGGATCATGCTTCCCATTTTTTAGATCAGATAACTGAGACTCCAGGATGAAAAGTGGATCAAAAACACAGGGCTCAGAAGGGGCCGAGCTTGGAGCAGTGAGCAGGTTTGGAAGTTTCCAGAAACTGCTCTCCTAACAGTATCCTGGGTGTTTCTCAAAGTCTGAACTGACTGAGTCAGAGTCTCCATGCAARGGTCCAGAGAATCTGGATTTTTATTGAATTCCCTTGGGCCGGTCCGATGTACACCAGACCCAAAGCTGAAAGCCCGACCCCGTGGCATGGTGATCCAACACCCAAAGGACCCAGATGACAAAGGACAGGCTCCTTCMGTGGAGAGCCGGCCACCAAGTGCCAGATGCATGCACGGGCTTCTTAGAAGAGGTCTCCTGCTGGGTCCCCAGGCAGGACCCTTCCATGGTGGCTCCAAGGTGTTCTTTCTCTCCCCCCAACATGGCAGAGGGTCCCTCTGTCCCCAGGCTGCCATGGCTCCCACTCTCCAGGGACATGGAGACGCCGTCTCACCTCCTTCTGGAGGCCTAGTCGCAGCAGTCAGAGGGTCACACAATGGGGTTCTTTCTAGATGCCCCGGGAGGGGGGTCCTGGTGAGCTTCTCTCACGTGTCGGTGGCTGCGAGATGCCGGCTGGGCGAGTGCTCGGCGAGTGCCCAGGGTGCTGGGGACAGACGCCAGCCACACAGAGCGCCCTTTGTGGTCTGAGAAGAGTGCGTCTGGGAGGCGACCGCAGGCCAGGATTGCTAACTCACCTTCCAACAGAGCTCAGGGGAGAAAACTGAGCCCCAGAGGCCCGGCCTTCCCAGCGCCCGGGAACCCCGGCCTGTGGGCTGAGGCCCTTTCTCTGGCTGGACTTGTCTCCCTCGTTAGTATTTCACATTCCTCCCGTATTTTTAYGCCTAAACCCCAGAAAGGATCCACAGAACCTGCACGTGAAGCTCAGGTCTCTGGGGGCTGGTTTTTTAATCACCCACAGCCTTGGAAACTCTGAGAAGCCACAGATACG